TCTTTCCCTGAAGGCCTGTTAGCAAAGAGGTGAGTCTCAGGAGAGATGATGGATGCAGGCACCATGGAGAAGAAAACCAAAGCACTTATCTGTTTGCCTGCTTTGAGGTGTAGCGCAGGGGAGGGAGAGATAAAGATGGTCTGAAGTCATATGGGGCTGCAACGTGGGTGCAACCCCAACTGGCCCAGGAGGAAATTTGGGTTTTCCTAGGGTCTTTTGAGAACAAGATCAGAACAAGTTCTGGTTCTCTGCCTAAAGAAGATGGCCTGAACAAGGTGATAACTAGAGGTCATTGAGAGAGGCTGGAGCCTACATTTGTTCTCCTTGGCCGGTTATCTGGGAAAGATATTAGCAGTCCTCAGCACAAGCCTGCACTGTCAGTGTAGTAGCAGGGAGCATAAGGAAGTTGGGGTGAGCACTAGCAGTGCGATGCAGAGAGCCAGGGTTCAATTCTCTTCAGTAAGAGTTTTGAGCAACGGAAACCTGTTAAAAATGAGGCTGCAGTGTCATTTCTCCCTGTGGACCTTGGGAAGCTCAGAATTGATCTTTTGCAAGCCAGAAAACAGAGATGGGCTGTTAACGTTCTGTCTTCATGGTCCTTCTTTCTCAGGGGTCCTAGAAGAAGCTGAGTTCTATAACATTGGTCCTTTAATCCGAATAATCAAGGATCGACTGGAGGAGAAGGACTACACAGTAACTCAGGTGTGGAGAGAAATGTCAAGGAAAGATAGAGTGGGGTGGGTGAAGGAGGGAATGTGGAAAGGGAGAGGTGAGTCTAGAGGAAGAGCAGACTCGGGAGGAGCAGCAGGGATGGGAAGAAGCAACTAATTAGTGGTGCTGATGTCTCAATAGCAAAATCGTGCAGGGGACAGGTTGCCGCCTTTTTAGTTACAATAAACAAGTTACAGGCTTGTTTTGCATCCCCAGAAGTAAAGCTGGATGTAGCCCGTGAAACCAAATCAGCTCCTGTATCTTTTGGAAGCAGGCAGGTGGTTGCTGTGGGATGTGGAAGAGTGTTTGTGAGGAGAGCGAAGGGGTTGTGGGGAGGAGGGCTCTGCTGTGGGGAGTCCTGGGAGTGCAATCACAGTGAAGAGCATGGGGATACCTGTAGAGAAACCTGGAGGGAGCAGGTGGAGAGATGTCTGTGGAAGGGTTAAGTGCAGACAATGACGCACAAGGAATCCATCCTGTGGCACTAATACACTTTGTCTTGGCCAATAACCTTTTAAAATCTGTCTTCTGCGAGTGTTGGCTGATATCTCACTTTTCATCATGTCTGCCTCAGGTTGTAAGCCTCCAGTAACACAGTCACTTTGTGCTTGCAAAACCCCATCAGCATGTGTGGCATTTGCATAAATGACTTTGTAATGACAAATGCAAACTCCCCATCAGAAGAGCCCGGTATCTTCTGGGGACAATGCAAGAAGCACTCAGCTCAGTCCCTCCTCTCCAGCAGAGATACCGTTGTTCTTGCTCCCCACGACAGCACGGTAGAAATTTAGGTTGTGGTTTCCATTCCCCTTTAAGCTGGGACATGGGGAAGAGCACAGGTCTGTCAAGGAGAGGTACTACTGCTTCATGCTGCAGGAGGGCAACATCCTTTAGCATCTGGCCGTTGTCAACATGCTCTGCAATTTTTCTGCCAGGTGCCTCCTAAGCATGTCTACCGCGTGCTACAGTGCCAGGAAGAGGAGCTCACTCAGATGGTTTCCACGATGTCCGATGGATGGTGCTTTGAGCAGGTATGGAGAAGGTAGACGAGGCTGGGCAGGAGTTGTCTTTTGGGGAAAAGGTCACGGATACCATACAGTCCCCAGGCAAGGCACATTCCTTCTCTGAGAATACTGGGTCAGTGACTGATGGTGCTGTTGCACTGGCTCCCTCTTCCTTATTCTCTAGAGGTTTAGAGGATGCTGTGTGAGGTTAAGCTGTTTTGGATCCCGGCTGACTGCTCTCCTGGTTTTCTGTGTTGCATCCTCAGCTTAGCTATGAGGCCTTTCTGCTGGGGGTAGGGACTGGACTGCCTGCTGCTAGCTGGGCTTTCTGCCTTGCTCCCCAGGTGAAATGGATGTTTGCAGTAACACGGGCTTGTGATTCTTGTTCTCGTCTTTTCTAGCTTGTAAACATTGGCTCATCGTATAACTACGGGAGTGAAGATCAGACAGAGTTCCTCTGCGTGGTCTCCAAAGAGCTGTACAACTCCTCCAACGGGCTGAGCTCCGAGCCCAGCCACAAAGCCAAGGTGAGACCAACTTTGCTACGGCCCTGCTCCTGTTGCCTATCAGCCCCTTTGCTCTTGTTTGGTCCCTTTTTCTTTCCTCTCTCTGCTGTGACTATGGGGCACCTCGGTGATGAAATACAGGGGCTAGTCCTGGTGTTCAGCACTGTGACATTACACCCGTTGCCCAGAAGGAGGAGTGTCTGTGTTGAGAGTGGTGGTGTCTAGCTGTGTGTGGCAAATGGCTTTAGCAAGTGACCCTGGCACTTCTCATGCTGCTCTAACATCCCCCTCATGCCTCCTCATGGCCATGCTGTGTGTGTCACGCTGCCTCTAGGGTGTGATTCCCCCAAAGGTTTGGCAGCGTTCTCTTTCCTTGCTGAGTCACAACCTCCGGGGCAGGAGATCACCTGCTCCCCTTATGAGGGAAGGACAGAAATGTGTGACAGTGCGTGGCATTCTGTAGAGACCTAGGACATGGGAAGGAGCACTAGCGACTGGTGGCAGTTGTTGGGCAGTGAGATCACGGCACTTGTCAGTGGGTTAGATAGCCCTGACCTGATGCTCCAAAGGAAGACAGGTCTCTTTGCTCACTGACCCAGAGCTGCCTTGGCCACGGGGAAAGGTCCCTTTTTACTCCAGTGTCATAACCATTGCTGTATTCCCTGGTGTGTCAGAAAGAACTGCCGTGGCTCATCTTGCAAGTATCTCCACTCTTTCTTCCCTTTGTCCTGCATGCTGGGCCACAGAGCACAGAGGAGGACCCAGAGGAGGAAGAACAGGAGGTGGAGGAGCAGACAGAGGCAGAAGCAGAAGCAGAGGAGAAAGGTGCACCAAATCCTTGAGGAAAGTGATAAAAATGACCCCCCAAGCAGAGATGCATCCACCTTTCTGGTGAGAGCTCACAGCTAGCAGCAGGGAAGGACTAGGGCAGGTGTGGGGTGTGGAGGAAGTCCTCTCCAGGAGCAGGAATCTCTCTGAAGATAAAGATCACAAGGGGAGAGCTGTTACCATGGCTGCTGCTTTAGTTTATTTATGGTTATATTTTTATTTGCAGACTGTCCATCTATTTGAGATTGCGCTAAACTCTTTCTTCCTCCGGATCCTCCCTCCTGCTCCCCTCCATGTCGGTCCCGTGCTGTCACCTGCCTCCCACGCTGCCCCACTCCCCCGCCTCCAGCATCCTTCCCTCTGCTCCCTTTGCTCCCCAGGGCTCAGAGCGGTCCCTGCCCGGGGCTCTGTCTCTCTCTGCTCCTCACTTTTCCTCCTCTGCAGGTACGTTACCTGTCTGCACACTCAGCTCCTGCCAGCCTGAGCTCTGCATGAGTGACTCAGTTACCTCTCTGTGGGTACGGCCATGGTTTGTGGAGCTTGGGGAGGGGAGGGAGGTTTACTCATCCCTAAGGTGGCTTTTCTGATTCTCATCCTACGCGTGCCTTTACCTGCCAGTCAGGCCCTACGGCTCTGGACCAGAGGCTCTGGCAGCAGAAAGGAAAGCGCAGCTGGGAGAAATGAAGAGGGGTGGAAATGAATGCAAGGCAGCCAAGGGTAGCACGGGGAAGAGGGGGAAGTCCGCCACGTGTCCGCCTGACACGCATGCCAGACCGCTTCTCCAGGCTGCCATCCGCAGCTCCGTTACCTGCCAGCCCCAGAGCGGTTTGCAGAAGGCAGCCTGTGATTTTCCCCTCCCTGCTCTCACTTCCCTGGGCTTTTTCGCCCACCAACTCTGCCAGGGTGAGAGCACAGAGGGAGAGCGTGGCGAAGGCAGAGCGGAAGCAGCCAGTTCCCTCTCCAGATGTTCTCGCAGCTGCATGCGAAATGAGCCACTGTGGTCTGCCTGCTGCTCGGGGAGGCTGCCTGGTGGGGTGCGTGGGGCTGGGCACAGAAAGCTTCGAAAAGAGGATTCCTCTCTCGTACTGGGAAGCTGTGGGGCTCTTGTTAAGCCAGAGGAGCTCACTGCCGCTCTGTCCTGGTGGAGGGCACTCATTAGCTGGCTGACGTTTCTCTCTCCCTCTGTTCGAGAGCCTGCTTGTCCATGGCTGTGGGGCCTGACTGTTATTCTCTTAAAAGTCAGGGTGTGTTGATCACGCGGACTTTTCCTTCCTTTTGCTCTGTTCTCTCACCCTCACTCCTCATCTTTCTTCTTTTTCTTCTGTTCTCATATCCTCTGTCATTTTCCTGTTTCTCACTCTCCCCTCCATGCTCAATCTCTTTCGTTTCTCTACTTTTGATTTTATTTCTCTCTTTCTCTCCCCTTCTCTAGCTGTTACAAGCCAGAAGTCTGGGGATGTGATCTCAACACTCCACTCCAGCCTTGCAATTTCTGGCTTACATCTTCATTTTTGTACTGCAGTGTGTGGCAGCCCCTCGCCCCCTGGTGACACTCCCCAGCCGCCTTCACTCTCCACATGCAGCCTTTCTTTTTTACAAACTCACCTCTTCGGAGGCCTGAGCCTCAGCCCCGGAGGAGGGCAGATGCTGGAGCCCACGGCCCCCTGCCATGCCTGGCAGGCTGGCTTTCCCTAATGTCACAGTGTCCTCTGCTGGGGACATCAGTGATCAACCGCTGCAGCCTGCGGTCTCTGCCCGGACGCCCTGGGTGCCACTGGTGCCCCGAGGGGGTGGCAGCTGCTGTAAGGACCAGTCCTCACCCTTTCGGTGCCTGGGCTTGTGGCCAGAAGGTAAATGCAGAGCCATCGCCCTTTTCTGGGCCACCCGCGCTGCTCGTGGGCTGTCCTCGGGCTGAGCATCACACTCCTCGGTGCCTCTCTCCCTGTCCCCCAAAGCAGCCCTGTGTCGGCAGGGTGACGAGGAGACAGGCGTGCTGCCCGGGTACCGGGAACACGCTGGCGCCGGGTGTCGTGTCGGTTAGCACCAGGAGATCCCTACCTCTGGGAGCAGGGCGTTCGCTTCACTGCTATGTCTGAGGACACCGGGTTGTAACTCCTGAATAAAATTCACGGTCTGTTCCTCCTCGCCGCCTCTTGTTTCAAGTGGCAGAAATTTGGTGCTGGTAGAAGGGGGTGGGAGGTGGGCAAGAGGAATTTGGATTCATCACCTGGAGCCACCAGAAGTTGCTTGTGCTGTGCCTGTCTTTTGGGGGCTGGAGGTGGACGTATGTCTTGCTGCGTCTGTGCTGAATCCCCGCTGTGTGCAGCTGGGCTGGAGAGCAGGTTTGCTTATTGGTATCTGCACCCCTAAATCACAACAATAGACGAGGACCACCTATCTAGCTGGTGTATTGACCCCACTGCCCCTGGGGGATGGCTAATGGGGAGGGCAGGGGTGTGGAAACTTTCGCCAGTTGCCAGTGCCGGGATTGGAGTTTGGTCAGAAAGATATAAACCCCAAGAGCTTTAACAGGGTAAGGCAAACTAGAGCGAAAAAAACCCTCAAATCAATTTTATTTCTAGTTCCAAAGATTGGCCTATTGTGTATACACACACACATATATATGTATATCTTTCACAAAAAACCCAAACCCGTAGCAGTCACTGTTTAAGCACTGTGCCCTTAAGCCCTCTCCTTCACCGCCTGGGTTGTCTGAGTTAGGAGATGGAAGCAGCTGAGATGCCCTCACATTAAAGCTACTTAGAAGGGCTGAAGGAAGGGGATGGGTGGCTGCTGCAATGCTTTTGCTGAGGGGCCGGGGCCTTTGCCTGCGGAAAGCACGGCGGTGGAGGCTGGGTGCTGCTCCAGCAGGGAGGCAGGTTGCGCTGCGGGGTGTGACGCTGGACTCGTGCCTGGGAGTCAATGAGATGTGAAGTGTTGCCTGGCTGAGCTGAGCAGCGTGCTGAGCAGCACAAGCCAGCTAAGAAAAGAAGCAATTAGGGAGATGGGAGAGGAGGAGTGATGGGAGGGGAAGGGGGAAGAAGGACGAGCAGCAGGAAGGAAGAGGGAGGCAGATTGATTTCACAGTTACTGGAATCTCTAACTGCATCAGTCACATTTTCTTTCAGCAAATGTTCCAGCAGAAGATTGTGGCTGAATCACATGGTTCACAGAAAGTTCAACTCCCCTTATTCCTCTTATCAGAAACCATGAACTTGGGACCACTGTGGTGTGTTGTGTCATTCCCCCCACCCCCAAACTCTTTTGGATGGATGGCCTAAAAACACCTTGGGATGCTCCCTGGGAGACACTGAGGGGCAAGAGGGTCTGTCTGCTTTCCCCTACGATCCCCAGTGCAGGCTTTTTTTACCCCACTCAGAAGAGCATCCTGGGTCTGACTACATCCCACGCAGAAACTCTCTTTCTCCGAGAGCCGAGTGAGGAAGATCAGGAATGAGTGCCATGTGAGTGTAGGTCTGATGGGAAGAAGGCAGAAGTTCACTCTTCTCAGCTCATGACAGAAACACTCTTGCTCCGAGAGCCGAGTGAGGAAGATCAGGAATGAGTGCCATGTGAGTGTAGGTCTGATGGGAAGAAGGCAGAAGTTCATTCTTCTCAGCTCATGGTTTGGTTCATCCAGGCCAGCACTTGAGTGATCCTGGTGTATACTCCATAGTGATTTGGACGTGCGCATCCCATTCCCCAGCTGACCAAACCAGCCAGAAACCACCTGCCACTGGATTCTTTGCAGGCCAGCGGACCTCCAGAATCACCCTAGAGAAAGGAAAAGACAAATGCAGT